AATTCTTTGTGCCTCTTTCGCCTTAAATATTTCAATTTTTGTTTATACAGTCGACCCCCCTATAAGATCATTGATTTTTCCGTTTTATCTGAATTACATGTTGTACAAGTCACTTAGATTTTACAAATATGTGAGCCATTCACAGTCCGGCACACGTATTTGTAAAATCTAAGTGACTCGTACAACATGTAATTCAGATAAAACGGAAAAATCAATGATCTTATAGGGGGGTCGACTGTATATAACAGATAATACTCTGTTCTATTCGAATATAACTATAGAAAATGCTTGATTAAAACGAAAATTTTATAAAGTTTTAAATAAATTTTCTCAAATTAAAAAAAAAATTAAATTTTTAATTATTTTTAAATAGAATTAATTTAAACTTTCTCATTTAAAATGTCTTAAACATCGCAAACAACTACGATCAGCTTCTCCACTTTCTTGATATTTGCATCTTATTTTCAGATAAATTTTATATTTTTTAAGTCAAAAAACGTATTAATTCCTTGTGAAAACTCTAATTTTTGTAAATATATGTATATATAAGAGGGTCAAAAAGTCAGTTAACCGTGCTTTTTTTTTGCAAGCAATTCAGCAAGTTACAAAGCGTTTTAATTTCTCAATTTGAGCAATTTTATGCAAAGTTTTTAAGCAATAAATTATTTGAACCAAAGATTAATTTAATCTATACAATAATAGGGCCATCTTGTATATAAATTTATATATATTTAAACATATATAAACATAATAACTTCACTTTATATAGATGTTATATAGTCATCAGTCGGATAATAAAAGTTAAAAGAGAAAATATTTACGATTTATGATTAATTTTACAACTTTGACTTTGTATTTATATATAGAAAATAATAAAGATTAAAGTGCAAAATTGGAATTATTATTATGAAGAGAAGTGGGACTCGATTGCGGTTGTCAATAAATCCTGCAGGAGTATGTTTATTCAAAGCCACTTTACATAATGGTGCTACTCATAATTTATCAATAACAATTTAATTAAGTTATGTATACGCGAGATACAATTTCATCACTGAAAACGCTTGTTTATTTTACTATATTTAAATTATTTTCGAGATAAAACTATCATTTTCTTTAAAGGATTAAAGGAAAAAATACAGAGGAGGAAGAGGAGGAGCAAGAAGAAGAAAGAAAAGATGATAAAAAAATAAAATAAATAATTTTTATTTTGATTAAATGCATTCTAAAAAACGAAAAAAACTTTTTATTTTTATATATCTTTCTATTTTTTTACGACTAGAAACCCATTTTCTACTAATAATTGACGTTTGAAAACTATTTCTATAGCAAGGAACAAAAGAATGAGAACTATGTGCTTCCTACTTTCCTCTTTCTGGCTAAACAATCGATAGAAAATTTTAAAAAATATTTATATATATTTTCGGAGCCTGGAGCTAAGAATAATTCCTTATTAAAATATTAATAAAAATCTAGAAAAATATTAAGAATAAAACTCGATAAAAAAAATAAATAATAATAATAAAACAAAGAATTGCCTGTGATATCTTTTCTCAATGGTCAATCTAGAGTCTTGCGTCAAATCAATAGTTAGAGTTGGCCTGTCTCTTGTCAGTAATGGGCAACTCGTTAGCTGCTTAGATCTTGGCAAGTTCTAAGCGGCTGTGTCAGCGAATGCAGTTTCGATCTCCAGATGCTAGTTGATCAAATTTCTTATTGACAGGTAAGAGAGTCGACACGTTCTATATATCCTTGTTAATGTCCTCTTGTTTCTTTCTTTAAATTGACACTTTTTTTTTGATAAACTAGCTTTCCTTTCTTAACGAAAATATTCGATTTGTCTCGTAAATTCGGGCTTTGTGTTTATTAATAAATAATAAATTAAAGTGGGGGGTTTTCTCTTAGCGTATTGGAATTTTTAGTCGTGTTTTCGCTCTGTTATCTTTAACGATAAGCAGTTCTGAGGCATTTATAGATGTTTTAATGAGAAGAATTGTAAATAAATTCTTTCCTCCTGTCCTCGATACGTTTTATATTTAAATGTGCAGTTTATTGTTATCGGGAAAAGTATGATGTACAGGGGTAAGACACTACTAATTTGAGATGGAGAATATATATTTTAAATTAAATAAATTTTAAAAAAATATGATTAAAAATTGCAGCCCGACATTGTGAAGATGTCATTTATTGTGAATTTTTCAAAATGTTATGAATTTCTAAAAAAAATATATGCGTCGAGATAGTTTTACTTGTTTTATAGGTAGCAACTAGAAAAGTATAAGGACCGGATACAAATTAACTTAAACCTTCAGTTAAAATAATCGCTTTAGATTCGAATTAATTCAATTTCTAGAAGATTTTAATTGATTTTCTTTAAAAAACTTGGTACGGTAAACGTTCGATATCCTTCTTATCCGTATCGACAAAAGATTCGATCGCCATTAAAGGGTTAATAATCAATCTGTAGACGTCGAGATAAACTTATTTATGGCATTCATCATGCTTTCGATAAATCGGCTGGATGCCGAAGAAGGAAAAGAAGAGAACCTCTTTCGACTCGATATGCAAAGAAGAGAAAGAGAGCTTAATATCAATTTGATTAAGTCGCTCTGCAAATTACAAATGTTGAATTCAGTTGCACGAGAGGAGGTATAATTACGTAGCGCAGGTGTCGGATGCACCTGGTGCTATATAACGTCACCGGTTCCTAATTACATTACTCTGATAGAGGATACACGGTCCGTAAAATAGCCACGCTCGGTTTTTCTATCTTTCCCTCATTGGACGACTACTATTGGAATCAATACCACGTTACCCACTACCGACTTCGTCCCTCNTATTTGTAAAATCTAAGTGACTCGTACAACATGTAATTCAGATAAAACGGAAAAATCAATGATCTTATAGGGGGGTCGACTGTATATTATCCGCATAAACCTTGTTTATGAATAGGACTTATTATGCGGGTGTAGTTTTGAATTAAGACAAAAATTTAAATATAAAACAAAAATATCTTGATTTTCACCTGAAAAAGATATTTCGTCTTATTTTTTTATTAAGTTTTTTCTTTCCTTTGATAATTCGTAACTACTCTGATATAGTACGTCCTATTTATAAACAAGGTCTACCTGAATAGTATATAAACAAAAATTGTGAGTATAATTTTTTATCTGTAAAAGTAAATAATAAAACAAACAAATTTAAGTAATTCTAAAGTCTAAAAGTAAGCTAAATATTAAATTTCCTTTAAATATTATGTATAGAATTATATTAGTAGCTTTTGATTTATAAGTATTTAGTTACACAATATTTAAGATTGAATTAAATGGCATCAAATATCAATTTTTTAAATCAGTATAATTTTTCTAAAGTATACATAAAAGTATATTGCAAAATTTCTTATTTCTTTAAGGAAATGATTGTTTTGAATTATGTACAAATTAAATTATATCCTTTAATAACCAGAAACAACTATATCATGCATCAACAAGATAAAATCAATTTTAAGTTTTTAAATAAATTAATTAAGAAATAATGAATTCCGGGAATCCCACTTAAATATTTTCAGAAATCATGATTTTTTCACGTGTAATTCACCTAGGACCCAAATTTTTTAATAGAAAAATTCAAAGAAACCACATTAATTATCGTTGTTTTGCTTTTTTACAACAATCTAAAGTATACGAAAAATTATTTATTGTGACATCGTCACAATGCCGGGCTACAATTTTTAATCGTATTTTTAATTTATTTAATTTAAAAATATATGCTTTTCACCTCAAATTAGTAATATAGTGTCTTCCCCTGTACATCATACTTTTCCTTTAACAATATAGTCATGTCAGTCATATCTAACACCTTTCAGGCATAATTTCTGAATTGAAATAACATGACTTCTAATTTTGATCTGAAGTTCTTATATAATTAATCGGAGCCTCCTGTCCCTAAGGTTTCCATATCCGGTCTCTTTTTCATCTATCTAACTCATTTCTCGAGATTAAGGAACGAGAATTGATGGACGACAGTGGGAATTTATAGGTCTACAATTTTTTCAAATTGCAACCCCAAAATGAGATCTAATAATACAGAATCACTATATATAAATTATTTTTATCTATAAAATCTATAGTATTATTTACACAATATTTATTATTTCCAAAATTTATTTCTTCTAATTAATTTCTTCTAATAATCGCACAAGAAAACTTATTATTATTATTATTATTATGGATAGAGGCTTCAGTAAGCTACTTTAGCTTATTCAAGGCTAAAGAAGAGAGTGAGGAGATGAGAAAAAGAATAAGAAAGAGGAAAAAAGATCTCAGTAACGTATTGAGTAGATATGGTAAATCAGAAAGCACGAGAAAAACATTAACATAAAATTTGTTGAGAAATAGTAATTTTAATTACATAAAGTACTGTAACACCTCTATAAGTATCTAGTGAAACAGTATAGTGAAAGGTAATACAAATCCTAAGTATTATTTACAAGTATAACATAAGAAACATAGATAAATCGTAGATATCATTAATCTTTGAGCAAATATTATTTTATATATTAATTTCTGATTTTATTCTAAGAATTATATAAACTTTAATAAATTATTTCTAATGATTAAAAGATAAAGTGATAGTATAAAAGTAGTTTACATTTAATCGTTAATCAAGAAATTAATATAACATTATAATTTACTGATGATTCTCAAATTGTCCTTTAGTATTATCTAATGCCAAATTGCCTTTAATGTTAAGGAACATTTTTATCAAATTTCATAGAATACAAGTAAAAGACTTCGTTTAATAATATTTAGATTTATATTAATATTTTTATCTAGTATTAAAAATGGATTCTGAATTAAAGCTGACCATCTTTTTTTCATTTTGTTTGCCTTCTCGTAAATATTTCAAATAAAATTTATCTCAATTGCTACAAAATTAAAAGTTAATTTAATAAATAATATTTCTTAATTATAATTCTTAAATACTTATTTTTCTATTTTTAGGATTTAGTTCTTCCAATATCTTACAAAAACCGATTTAATATTAATGGGAAGCATCATGCGAATTCAACAAATTCATTAGTAAGTAGACTTAATATTAAAAAAAAATTATTATTATTTATCAAATGTACTTGTATATATGTATATTATATTATGTTATGTAATATAATATATTATGTACATTAATAGGAATTATCGGATTCGAATGAAACTGTAAATCCAGAAAAATCTGAAACTCCGGAACGAGGTCAATGGGGTAGCAAAGCTGAATTCATATTATCTTGTGTAGGACTATCTGTAGGAATAGGAAATGTTTGGAGATTTCCTTACCTAGCATATCAAAATGGAGGAGGTATATCATTATTCCAAGAAAAATATTATTACTGAATATGCAGATAAATATTTCATGTCTCATTTAATTATATTACTTTTAGGTGCTTTTCTTTTCCCATATTTTATCCTAATGATATTTATCGGGAAGCCTTTATATCTAATGGAAGTAGCTTTAGGACAATATTCAAATCTTGGACCAATGTCGGTATGGAGATGTTTTCCTTTAGCTAAAGGTAAAAATATTTTACGAATTTTATCAATTATTTAAGTATATTAAACCTTTATAAATAGATGAACCTAATAAACATAATTTTAAATTACAGGTGTTGGAGCAGCTATGGTAATCGTATCCATTATGGTCGCTATTTATTACAATGTTATAATGGGTTATACTTTATTTTATGCTGGACAATCATTTCGTTCCGTTCTTCCATGGAATGGATGTTATGATTGGTGGGGTGCAGATAACTCTACTTGTTACGTACGAGATAAGAATAGCGTATGTATTAATAGTTTAATTTAACGTTTTTTTAAAGTTCTAATATAATTTTATTTCATATTTAAAAGAAATTAATTTTTATTTAATAGATTCTCTGTTCAACCCTACAAAAACAGCTTAATTTATCGTCCGTAGAAAGTTTAACAAATTGCACTAATGCTACTCAAACATCATCTGAGCAATTCTGGGAGTGAGTAAAATATTCACACTTTATTTCAGTTAGTTATAAAAGTAAACATTATTGAAAATATAAATAATAATTTAATTTTAAAGTTTCAAATGAGAAAAAATTAAATTTATAATTTTGCTAAATTGCAGGAAATATGTCTTGAATATTACATCTAGTCCCGAAGAATTGGGTGAAATTAAATGGGATTTGAGCGTGTGCCTGTTGGTTTCGTGGATAGTTGTGTTCCTTTGCTTAATGAAAGGTGTCAAATCATCAGGAAAAGTAAATATAATTCATTCATTATGCCTGTACTTTGTAATAATATTTACATGTGTAATTTAAAAAATAACAAACAATATAATATAAATTATTGTATATTTTTACAGGTTGTATATTTTACAGCAACATTTCCTTATCTCATCTTGATCATTTTGCTAGTTTTTGGAGCCACTCTTAAAGGCGCTTCCAAAGGCATTTATTATTTTTTCGTACCTGAATGGGATAAACTATTGGAAATTGGAGTTAGTTTCATTTTACTATAATTTTTTATTTTTATTTTTAGTTTATTTATTAATAAAATTTAAGCTTTAAATCTACTAACTACAATTTATTCACATAATTAAAATATATTTTAATTTCAGGTTTGGCGAAAAGCAGCCGAACAACTATTCTTTTCATTAAGTATTTCGTGGGGTGGATTAATTATGTTTGGAAGTTATAATAAATTTGGAAATAAAGTACATAGGTAAGTTATTGATGATTATTTTAAATTTCTTATATGAAAAACAAATATTTTTTTATAAAAAAATTTATAAAATGAAATTATTTATATTTATAGAGATGCATTCTTTGTAAGTTCTTTGGATTTTGTCACAAGTTTAATCGCAGGAATTGTCATATTTTCCGTTCTTGGCAATATGGCAGAAGAAATGGGAATCGATATTAAAGATATTGTTAAAGGAGGTAAGGCTTTTGTTTCGATTATTAAAAATTGAAATGTACTTTTATTTCAAAAATTAATAGTCATGTTTTATAATAGGTCAAGGATTGGCTTTTGTGGCTTATCCAGAAGCTTTAGCTCAGTTAAAAGTTCCCCAGCTTTGGTCAGTTCTCTTCTTCTTTATGTTATTTCTTCTTGGATTGGATAGCGAAGTAAGTTTTTTTTTGTTATCATTATATTATAAATATTAACTTAAAGTTACAAATTTATTTATTTATTTACAATGACTTACAGCGATTTCATAATGACAATAATGGCTGATCCCCCGAATAATAAACATAACAATCTCGAAAAGTAAAATTAAACGCGTATAACATATAAAAACACATTTTTCCGGAATAGTATGAAAATTATAGGTTATTATAATGAAGACTTCTAAAACTCATTTAGAACTAACAATAATATAGTTAGTATTTTTAATTAAATTATTTTAAATTTTATTATCGAAGAAATTTATTTTTAAAAATAAGAAATTTATCTTTGAGTTGCTAATTATGATTTTTCCTTTAATTAGAGATTATTCTCCAAAATATTAGGTACACATCTATCGATAAAGTTCAAAATCCCGGAAATACGGTGTGTAATTTGCCGAGAGAATAAAAAGAAATAAAAACCAGCATAAAATATTCATTAATGACAAGGAAGATAGACCATAAAATTTAATCTAGGTTATTCAGTAATTGAGTTAAGCCATGTTATCTAAAAACAATAGTTCAATTATTAAATTAAATTTTCATTAGTTACTTTATCATTATTAGAATATTACAGTTACTAGATTTGTTTATAAAAAAGTCAATTTGAAAACTGTTTTTTATACGATTATTTAAAAATATTTTGAGAAAATTTGTTAGTTTTGTGCACAATGTCCAAAACTCTAACAAATGATAAATCAAAATATGCACATTCTAAATGATAAAATAATTTAATAATTATAATATTCAAATATCAGATGTAAATTCTTATCTCTCTCTTAATTCTGATAATTATTTATCATTATTTTTTTGAAATTTTTGTGCATTATTAGAGACTCCATATAATATCTACTTGACAAGTTAATGCTTATATAAATTATTTTACTTTTTAGTTAAATATTAAACATTTATTACATATTAGAAAAATTTTAACTTAAAAAATTATTTTATAGATTAATAAATATGTTCTATTTTATATCTTAAGATAACAATTTAAATATTGTGTAGCAAAGAATTAAAGATATAATTTTAATTTATAGTTTGCACTGCTGGAAACTTTCCTTACCGCATTATATGATGAATTGCCTAAGATGAGAAATTACAAAGTTCTGATCACTTTCCTCACTTGTGCTTCTTGCTTTCTTCTGGGATTGCCATGTGTCACTCAGGTAACTTCTTGTTATTATTTGTTTTAGTTCATAACAGAAATACTTAACGTGGGAAACACTTAAAAATAATTTATTGCAACTATATTTTATTTTGAATTCGAAAGTTTCATTCAGAAGAGAAATGTCCGAAACAATGACAATTTTCTTCCCAGTTATGTAAGAATTTTGCATTGTGAAAGACATTTACAATCAATTAGAAATTTATTATTGTAGTTTCCCCAAAAATTTTCCTCGAGGAAAAATGACTGAATTCAACATTGTACATGGGGGCCCCTAATTCAAATTTTCCTGGGATCCATGAAGCTATAACCCGCCACTGGTTCCCTTTCTATCCGATCAGCAGAATAATGGCATTCGAATAGGAAAATTACTTAATATAAAGTTATCAGCGAGCACAAAATATGTTTTAGGGGTTTACAAAATCAATTATCAAAACGTTAAATGCGAATCGAATTTGAGTACTTTCATCTACTTAAAATCATTTTTAAAAGGTAAATTCTATATAAATATGACTAATAATTTATTTCTTATTATAGGGAGGTCAATATGTTCTTAATTTAATGGATACTTATGGAGGCGGATATTCAGTTCTAGTCATTGCAGTTTTTGAACTTTTGGCATTAATGTGGGGTTACGGTAAGTAAATTATATCTGAATCTATTCAATACATAAATATATATTTTACACAAATACAAATGTGATTTAAAAGTAACATAAAATTATATTTGAATTAATTAAGGTGTAAGAAGATTTTGCAGTGATCTAGAGTTTATGTTAGGGTTCAGACCTAATTACTTCTGGCAAATATGCTGGGCTGTGATAGCACCTCTTGTATTAGCTGTAAGTATAATTATTATCCTATAAACTATTTAGTATTTTTATTTATTTATTACCTTAAATTAAAATTTTATATATTTTCGACAGTTCATATTTATCTACAGTTTAACAGAACATAAACCTATTACTTATGACACTATTCCATATCCAGAATGGGCTGATGGCATCGGATGGGTTTTAGTGCTAATAACAATTTTACAGATCCCTTTATGGGCAATTTACGTACTTATAAAAAATCGAAACGTAAGTTTATAGTTTATTTTAATTTTTGTAATTGTTGTAAATTTAAAAAAAAGTATCTATCAATTTAATTTTTAAAAAATTAATAAATTTAATTTTCATATATCAATAGAATATTCGTAACGCTTTCAAACCTGAACCAAGTTGGGGACCGGGAGATCCAGATGCTAGAAGAAGGCGTTTAAACGATGAAAATCCAGAAATTGTTCTTAGTGGAAGAAATGGCATTGATAATCCAACAATGGATTTTAGTAGCGAAAAATTTTAATTTATCTTAAAATTTTTAAGACGATTAGTTCGTCTTAAATGTATAGTGTAAATATTTGCAATATATTTATTGTTTTTTCATAAATTATACATAAATAAATCATTTTAAAACTATATTCGCACATAAAATATTTTATTTTTGTGTCACTAATCATTTGTAGAAAAAAGAATCTAATGTATTTTTAATTATTTTAATAAAACATATAGATTTTTAAGCTCTTATATTTTTGTTTTTTACACATTTTAGATGTTAAGTATACATGTTATTTTAAGAATAATACAAGTTTTTAATACTATTAAGAGATTCCAAACATTATAAATTTGCTTCTTTATATAGGCTACTGAAAAATTTAGTATACGAAATTAAAATTCAGTTTGTCAAAAAATAACGTGTAAATTTATACTAATAGGCAAATAATCTGATTTCATAGAAAATATTAAACGTTATTAAATAATCTACATATCATTGACAAACTAAATCTAACCGCATATTAATCATTCTCACATTGCAATCACGTTATGCAGTTCACTGTTATCACTGTTACTTTCATGCGTGTTGTGCAGTAATGCATTTTACCTGTCATAGTTGACAGCCTGTTCCGGAATCCCAATTGATATAATTGATATTTAGGAATATAATAAAAGTTGGTAGTATATATATTTTCATATGTTACAATTTTGTAATTGACAATGCTGCTCTAACGTCATTAGGAGCTAAGATTACAAGAAGGGGACGGAAATTCGCACCATCGAATCGTTTAGCGCTTGCTCGATGTAATATACATCGGCAAGAAATCTACCGTGATTGGTCTATTAGTTAGATTATCAGAACACACCTTATGTTTCCGAGATAAGTTATTGAAAACATACTAACATTTTCGGCCTATTCCATAGGCTATCCTCAAGTTAAACCAGAAGATTGGAACATCGGCGGTTAATCTTCTGGTTTAACCTGAGGATGGCCTACGGAACAGGCTGAAAATGTTAGTGTGTTTTCAACAAATTATCTGGGCAACATAAGTTGTGTTTTTATAATCTAATACTTATTTGCTGAGTACGTTCATTTAAATGTTAAAGGTCTATTAGTTTTTTAAATAACTGGCCGGGGGGAGACTTTTGTTACCTGTATAATAACTGAAAAAAGGTATTACGTAACAAAAATGTCTTAAATGTCTTCTGCTTCATTTTTTAATTATTAAATAAATTTTAGTAAAAATCTTTTTGAATACTTTAAAATTATTCTGTAAATATTAAGAGCATGTATACGTTATGTACCAAGTGATTAATAGGATATTTATAATGCCCAGCCATTATGAATAATGACTAAAATGGTGGCGCAGTCTGATAAATATTGACTAATTTATTAAATTGGCCAGACATTATGAATACTGTGACCGTAGGGTCGGTGTCCCTTTGACACCACGTCAGGATGTGACACCACCGAGCCTCGCAGGACTCGGAAATCGCGACTTTACGTCACGCGAGCGGTAACGGATTCGGAGTAGACGTGAAGAGAGAGACGAGGAAGTGACTCACTCGGACTCCATAATAACAAATAAATAACAATTTTAATTATAACAAAAGAAAATACAGATATATTCGATTTCTGGCATAGCCCCTAATTATACTAGGCGTTCGAGAGAGAGTTTACAAACGAATCGCGGGTTGATAAATACCTTTCTTTTGGGTCGAAGATCTGTGGTCAGATGACACTGTTGACGCCGATGGAATGTTCGATAGAATGATCCCGGATCTTGTCCGTTAACAGGAGGCCGAAAGTCAGGATGATATCCTTAAAGAGGCACGGAATTAATCCGGGAGGACGACTTTGGTGGACGGACGTTGGAAGACGACTGACCTCGGGTGTTTTTTCCGTTTTCTCTTGTTATTCCTCTTGGGTTTTTTCCATGAGGTCAGGTGGTTGTTGTTAATGGTCTGGCATCCAATATGGACACTCTATCGAAAGTTCCGGGTGACATATCGCCGACTAGCTGGATCCTCCTCAACAAGGAACCAACTCCGTGGGAAATAAATTTTTATGGCTTTTAGCCTAACGCTCGAATTTAGATGATGGAATGTTTCAATAATTAAAATTTAAAATAACACTTTATTAAGGTCTGTTCGTCCCTCACAATACAATTATATTCCCTTTGGGCAATTTGATATTTTTTAAAATCTCCACTTTATTTATTAAAAATTATTTATTTTTTTGTGAATTATTTCAAATTNGACAGCCTTTAGTCCCTCACTATGTGATATTTTAGGAGCTTGTACGATGGAGTCCTCAACATCATTTTCCGATATATTTTCATTAACTGTGACAGCAGCAATAATTTCTGCATCAGACATAATGTCTTGCTCAGTATCATTCTGGAACCACTGTTTGACGATTTTCGACTGTTTGACCACTGTCATTTTCATCGGCTTCTGCACATCCAGGAACTCTTTTCAGGATGTCGAGTAAGTTTACATTTTCTGCAACATTACGTTCAACAAACTCATTTCCCTCGTGATCAAGGAGTTTTCACCAGGAACGAACTAGTGTTAATAACTCTTACTCATTCCATGCATCCGCCACCCAGCCAACATCCAATAGGTTAATTTTCTTTAAGTTCTGATAAGACCTTGACCATCATCGTTTGCAGAAAGAAGGGAGGATAACAGCTTGCGCCGAGTTATCTGGACTGCCAAGTTTTCGGGACTACTGTATCAATATATATGTTATGGACCAAGTGCATAGGACCATTATTTATAATGCCCAGCCATTATGAATAATGACTAAAATGACTGCACAGCCTGATAAATATTGATTAAATTATTAAATTGACCAGACATTGTGAATACAGCTACATTTCCTTAGGCAATTTGATTTAAAAAAAAAATGCCACTTTTTTTCATTAAGAATTATTTTTGTGAATTATTTCAATGTATTTTAAAAACAATATGTGATCTTTTAAAAGTAAGTATTATTAACAGTATCAATTAAACTTCTGAAATGTCAGTTTTTGGTATAAATCATATTACGTCAATCAAAATTCAACTTAAAGGAAACTTCTGGAATATCATTTTTGTTATATAAAACTTTATTGTTGTTAGTTTTAAAGAGAGTTTCTAAATCTTTCTCTGTATTAATTAATGTTGGTCAATGATTCATCATATATATAATTCTTTAGTCCAACTTTTTGCTCCAAACATGACCTCATTAGAGCTGCAGTTTATACCAGTATGATGCCCTCGATTTTTCATCAGTTGTACAACACGTAATCCTTCCGACCACTTGTTAATATTGTTAGTCTCCAACCAAGAACTAAACATACTTTTCTACGTCTTGATTTCATCTTTCTACTCAACACTAACTTTGAGAGTGCTTGAGCTTTCCGTGCTCTAGCCTAATTCAGGCCGCATATTACTCAGTTCTTCAATGACATTATTGGCGAATTCTCTGCCGTTATCGTTTTGAAGAATACCGGGTGCACCTAAAATTGTAAAAATGTCTATAAGGACATAGGCTACATCTTCAGCCCTTTTTGGTTTTTAAAGGTCGTAGTTAAATGAATTCAGATCAAGTGGTCTTGGGTCACGAGTATAAATTTGTATTGCTCATCGGCTTGCGACTGCATATCTGTAAGATCGATCTGACATCTCGAGTTCATTTCATTACTAAAATTGGTTTAACTACCAAGCCTTTTTAAGAAATCTTCTGATTTTTCTGATAAATTTCACATAAGTTCAAGTAAACTATGATCATATTTCGTAATTTTTGTAATATTTTTATATTTTGTACTTAATTCTTTTTCAATGCGCTTTCTACCGCCATGGTCATCGTGAAATATCTAAAATATTTCTTCAGTGTGAACATAATATTTAATCAAATTACCTTCTTTTACAGACACAATTAATTGTTCTATTTCTCCCGTAGATACAACGTCATATCTACGTAAATCCTGATATTCTTCTGGTAACTTCGAAGTCACTTTGATTTTTTGACTTTTTCACTTTTTGTATCATTTTCAAATACATTGATTTTGTAAAAATTTGACTGTTTTGACTTTTTGCTGCTATTAACTCATTTAATCGGTTGTTGAAGCGACTATTCATATCACTTAGTGATTTCTCCATGATCGTTACTTTTTTCAAAGAAGAAAACACTATTTTAAGAGACAAGAATAAAATTAAAATGTCGCACAAGATTGAATTTAAAATTATATACAAGGAATATTTAATGGAGGAAAATGCATATTTCATATTCATTGTATACGTGATAACTCCATTAGAGGTAGGCGTTTATATAATCATCATCAATGATGCTATAAGTCGCGTGTTTCACTATTTCTATAAAAATAAATCTGCTACTGACTTATTAATAAAAGTAATTCAAAATTTAATTGTTTTTCAATAGTTTTAGTAGTTTTTTAAAAATAAAAACTACTGCAAATAATATTATATACTAGGATATGTAGAATTAAAACGTTTTTATCTATTAAAATGTGTTAAAATATCTCCTGCAACGTGAAGTAAAAAGTAATTTAACATTTTAACAATCAAACCGAGAATTTATATATAAGCTCTGTGAAAGATTCAGAAAAAGAACAGGTAGAAAAATAATATTTGAAATGCGAAATTTTCGTCATATGAGGGATAATTTCGTGATATGATTTAGATTTATTAATTTAAAACTTATTATAAATTTCTGAATTAAGTTATTTAAAAATATTATTAAAATCAGCTTGCATAAAAATTATTTATATTTATAAATAAAGTATTTAGGTTTATGTAAAGTCACTTAATAATTTTTGTTTTTCTTTATTAAGTCTTTGTAGGCTGTCCTAATATAAAATGCGTTGAGTAATTTTTAGTCATATTGCTGAATCACAAAAATTTCTGATTAATAAAAATGATTATTATAAAACAGAATTAACAAAGCAATTTCTCTCAAAATTTATTTCATTTTAAAAGTGATTTGATATTCCGTTTCTTATATTGAAAATACTGTTTATGACAGTTACAGAGTAATAAATTAGGCTTATATATTAATGTACGCTGTATCTTATCTAAGTTAATTCATCCGGGAATCTTTTACTTGTCTGAAATATAATTATTTTAAATATAACATTTCGAAACACTTGGAAACTCGAGTGTTAA